TAAATAAATTAAAGATTATTATAAATGAGTGTGAAATTGATGTTACCTGTATATATATATTTTATTATTATATTTATGTTTATAAAACTAAGCAAAAACTAATATATAATTATTTATTTTTGTAAGATAATACAAATAATATAGGATTCAAATTGTATATTTTGAATGCAGAAGTAAATAAAACTGGTTTTCTATTATCTTATTTTGTTTCTTGAAATTAATAATTGATGCAAAGATGATGTATAAACAGAAGTAATATAAAAATTTTTTACTATGTTCTGAGACCAAGGATTAAAATCTAAATTTTTTTTGACAGATAAAGATTATTCTTAAATCAATGTAGTATATTTTGTATGACCATATTGTAAAATTTAACTTTGTAAGTAGCATCTTAAAAGAATCATTAATATAAGACTATCAAGCAATAAACTCACTTAGTCTTCAGATTTTAATCCACTTTCAGTACTTGAAAAAAGGTTTTCTTTTAATAGAATTTAGAAAGCAATACAATTCTGTTCAAAAGAACTTTGAGCAAATGTATGAAGTATTATGGAAAAACATTTTCATAATCATCTATTAATTCTAACAGTTAATAGTCGATTTTTAACAAAGATATTATTTATGAAAAATCTGTTTCAGAAATATATTTATTTTGTAAGGATTATTCTTGAATTTCACTTTGGTCATATCTTTTTACAAAATGATATAATTTATCTAAGTGGGAATTATAGGCATATGCATCATATGAAAATAAAATCTCTATACTAAAGACTACAATGTTCATTAAGAGATATTGGAAAATACTTAAAAAAGACTTTTTATACAAGTTTTTTTAACCATGAATAGATCTTATTATATATATTTTAATAAAAAAGTTGATTACAAAAATTATAGCAGATTTATATAGAGAGAGAGAAACTTGAGTAGGTTAAAGACTTTAAGTCAGAATGGAATGCATTATCCAAACAGCCTATTAATCATATATATGTAACTAATGTAAATAAATAGATTTGTGAATGTCCTTACTACTTGTTAATGGCAGTTCTTTTTTTTATATTTTTTAATATCTTCAACTAATTTAATGATAGGACTGAAGAATTTTTTTATTGCTTTGTACTATTTTACATTACCAGTTAATTTTTGCTCTTCTAAAAGTACAAGTGCCTTTTTAGTTGTGTTAATTAAATCATTGAATACACCATTATTTTCTTCAACTGATACGCTTATAGATGATAAATTATCCTTAAGATAATCATTTGAATTGTTATCTACAGATAGTAATAAAAGGTTTTCTTCGATCAAAAAAGGAGGTTGATAATTTTTTATATAATTAAAAAATTAGCTATAACACCTTTTTGATGAATAAGATGTTTACAAATATTAAATCAACTAGTCAATAGAAGGGTTATACAAATAGTACTCATTATTTATAATAAATAAAAACTATATATTCTTGAACTTCTTTATTTGAAATAAAACTTGGTCATTGCACTAAATTAGTATTACTTTGAACTTTCAAATCTGGCATCAAAATACGTATGTACTGTACATACATACATACATCTGTATATATCAGATATATGATCAGTAATATCACATATATAATGTATAAACCACATAAGCTATATAAAATCACATGTCCATGCTTCTTTTGATGGTTATGCTGGGTAGTTCTGGAGATTCCCATTTAATAAAATAAATAGACTTTTCAATGACAAAAATCATTATTTCAAATTTATCAGAAAATGAAATAAAGTTGATACATCGCTTATTTAAAAATCAAACTGTAACCAATTTCAATTAAAATTAGATTTCCATATTTTAACCCCCTAATGAGGGGTTTCAGCATGAACCTAGCATAACCACCAAAATCAGTTACATAATCGCTGTTTAAAACCATCTCTGAAAAGTAATGCAATA